TCGCAGTCCACATGCACCTTCATCCATGGGTTTTCGTCATCATCTGTTCGCTGGGCATTGAGGTAGCTGATTCCCTCAACCGACTCTATGCGGGAGTTGACTTCGAAGTTGATGGCCACATGACAACCATACGTGCCATGGTGACTCAGTTCCGTGGGGACTGGAAGTGGCATCGGGTTTCTGGTCTGCAACTTATTTCACTTGCAAGCCATGGATGGAATTTGAACAACTAAAAAAACTATTGCAGTGTATCTGCATGGGGCTGAGGAATGGTTCAACCTTCAAGCCTGGTGGAGAGCTTCAAACATTTGTCATGCATGCTACTTGACAAAGTCCAACTACTTATGTGTGCCAAACCCACTTCCTGGAAATCCTCGAAGGGACCTAGCCAACTTTATGAATCAGGTGTTGCGAACTGACAGTGAGGAAAGTGATTTGGATCAATTACTTGTTTTTGGTCGCATGTTTCCTGACTGACCGAAAAAATGTTAGGGGGTGACCACATGCACGCACTACCTAAGGTGCATTGACCACCATTGTGTACTTCAGCCCCTGCAGCATTTGCTTCTGTTCTATGCATGCTCTCAACCTTGGTTATGGCCTTTGGGTTGGGGCATCGACACTGATGATTTTGGTCGAACACATCTGCTTGTATGGTGGGGATGAAGTTGATATGTCAGAACGATACAAAACTGCTTGGTTGAACTTCGATGCATGGTGCCGCACAAACAGACTACAGCACCTTAGTGTTAATGTGGGAATGCAAACAGCTCTGTTGGATTGAATGGTTGATCTTTAGCCTACACTGGTTTAGTTCCACAACTAAGGCATAGTCAGTTTGTCTTTTCCCAAAGAGGATGCATCAGTGTGCAAGGGGGCCATGCTGAACTCCATGCAAAGGCATGGAATGTTCCTTGGTTAAAAAAAAAGTCCCCATCTAGTTGCAAACAAAAACTGTCCTCCAACATCTTATTCCGGTCTGTCCTCCAACATGTTCTTCAGTCTTCTCCATGGCTGATTTGTGCAGGCTCGTGTTGTCATTGCATGGTTGTCTGACGTGATGGTCCACTATGTTGGCAATCGCCCTGGAGGTAGGGAGGATCCATGGGATCTATTTCATGTTGCAAATTGTGTGCATCTTGGCGTTTATTGACTCATTTAGTGGCCCAAAATCAACATACAACAGCTTCAATACAGATCCATTTTCATGTGAATATGAGGTATCAGCTGGCTCAGTGGTTCAACTTGGTGGAAGCCAGTGATCGCTATTTGGATGATCAGTCAATTCAACTCACGTCAGAAGCTTGTGAATCTTAGGCTTTAACAAGAAGCTGATTTTGTTTTTCAAAACCCAAAGGGTCCAAACACCTGTTAAATGAATTTGATGCATGGTTCATCCCCATCTTACAGTCTTCTGAGGACCAATCCCTGAACAGCTATTTTCACTTGGCTCGACTAGCTGTGAACCTTGGACACCATGAACTGTACCCGACCAAACCGAAGTGCCATGTGCCTTGCCTACCACATACAAGAACAGCAATACCCTTAGGATCCAAACACCTGCTATGTACATCCTTTTGCTGAAAGACTGTGAATGCTAACATATCTCAGGTTTGAAGTGCCCCCCAACTAGGCCATGATCCTATACTCAATGTGATTTGGGACCACTCAGGCATATCAGGAGTTGCAGTATATGCACATCAAATGGGGCACTTTGACAGCAATATTGGTAATGTGTGAGAATTGACACCCTGTGTGGATGACCTCTCCATGTGATGCTTTTTCATAGCCTAGGTCTCAATTCCCGTTTCGCCCACTGCTTTGCCCAAGAAGATTGGAACCGTTTTGCAATTCGCATCGCAGAGCGATGCCACAAAAATACCCTTGAGCTGGGGTTGCTCAGAGGTGTGTACATGAGATTGCGTTTTGGTCATGAAATGACCCATTCTAGTGATGACAGTGATGTCTAAATGTGATTGGATTGTCATGGATCTTGAGTGTGGGGTGCCAAAAGGGCGGCAAGGCAGCGGGCAAAGCAGGGGGGTCAAACCTGCTAGAAATGCGAATGTCCATATTTACGGTTTTTGAGAGATATGTTAGCATTCACAGTCTTTCAGCGAAAGGATGTACATAGCAGGTGTTTGGATCCT